AGAAAGAAAGAAAGAAAGAAAGAAAGAAAGAAAGAAAGAAAGAAAGAGAAAGGAGAAAGAAAAAGAGAAAAGAGCGAAAGAGAAAAAGAGAAGAGAGCAAAAGAAAAAAAGAGAAGAGAGCGAAAGAGAAAGAGAGAAAGAGAAAGAAAGAGAGGAGAAAGAAAGAGAAAGAGAAAAAGAGAGAAGAGGGAAACACAAAGAGAGAAGAGAGAAAGAGAAAGACAAAGAAAGGGGAGAGAAAGAGAAAATGAGAGAAGATGAAAAAGAAGAATGAGAGAGAAACAGAAAGAGAAAAAGAGAAAAGAGAGAGAAAGGAAAACAATGAGAGAAACAGAAAAAGGGAGAAAGAGAGAAAGGGAAAGAAAAAGAGAAAGGGAGAGAAGAGAAAGAAAGAGGAGAGAGAAAAAGAAAGGAGAGAAAGAAAAAGAGAAAAAGAGAAGAGAGCGAAAGAGGAAAAGAGAAGAGAAAAAGAGAAAGAGAGGAGAAAGAGAGAGAGAAAAAGAAAAAGAGAGAAGAGGGAAAGAGAAAGAGAAGAGAGAAAGAGAAAGACAAAGAAAGAGGGCAGAGAGAGAAAAAGAGAGAAGGTGAAAAAGAAGAGAAAATGAGAGAGAAACAGAGAAAGAGAAACAGAAAGAGAAAGAAAAAGAAAATGAGAGAAACAGAGAAAGGGAGAAAGAGAGAAAGGGGAAGAAAAAGAGAAAGAGAAGAGAAAGAAAAAGAGGAGAAAGAAAGAGAAAAAGAGAGAAGAGAGAGAAAGAGAAAGAGAGAAAGAAAGAAGGGAATAAAGCAGCAAAATCAGATACAGGTAGTATTCGATTTACAACAGTTCATTTAGTGACCGTTCAAAGTTACAACGGCACTGCTGACAAGCAAAGTCAGAGCCAGCTTCGCCTCACAACCGTGCTAGTAAGCAATTTGCTTAACAACCGCGGCGAGAAAAGTTGTCAAAATGGGGCAATAGCTCACTTAACATCTACCTCGCTTAGCAGTAGGAATGTTGTGCTCGATCGTGGTTGTAAGCTGAGGACTACGGGCCTTATTTGTTTCTATTTCTATTTTATAATGAAGTTCAATGAAACACTTTCAGAAAAAAAACAGCGCTGATTGGCGTAATGCACTCCCCTCACAAATGCGTCTTTTTATCACACGCAGGACGTTCTGAAAACCTTGAATTTTCTAATGTTGCCTCAGGGTAATCGTTCTGAAAGAAATCTTTTCTACCCTCAGCACAACTGATTCACCCGTGGCGGGAATGAGACAACGCACCACAGCCAACTCGTTGCAGGACAATATACCATCTTTCCCCCCAAAAAATAAGACCGGGTCTTATGTTAATTTTTTGCTCTGAAAGACACATGAGGGCTTATTTTCCAGTTAGGTCTTATTTTCAGGAAAAACAGGGTAACAATTATTTCAAATAAAATAAAAAAATACAAGTTTTGCCATTCCAATTTTATTTTGTCCCGCCTTTTGTATTCTTTCTCCTTTTGTTTCTCGTTAACATTCAGTTATAAAGTAATGTAAAATACAAAATGCAAAGCAAATAGGAAAGCAGCGGGGAGGGAAAGGGAAGGGAGGAAAGATAAGAAAACTTTTTGGGAGTTACGATTCATGTTTTTTTAAAAAAAATGGAGATAAAAAAATGAAACCGGAACTTTTCCTTTTGGATCTCATGGAAAAAGAACCGGAGGAAAAATTTAGAACTTTGTTATTATATATGATGACAGCAGCAAGACTATTGTATGCACAAAAATGGAAGGACACTTCGATTCCTACTATGGGACATTGCAGAAGTGGATGGGGAGTTGGTTGAAATGGCAAAATTGACTATTTTGATTGAGGAAAAGAAGGTAGGTACCGTACTTTTGTTTCCACATGGAAACCGCTTCTGAACTTCATGCTTGATGAGGAAAAGAACGAAACTCTGACTTTGGGTTTTGCCATTTAGACTGACAGATCTTTATAGAAATGGCTTGTTCATATTATTATGAAAAAGCAAAAAGCTGTGATTTGATGTTAATGCCTTATTTTACTGTAATAAGAGACAGTCAGAAGTCAGTGTTTCTTTTTCTTATCTTTTCTCACTTCTTCTTCCCCATTCCCTCCCCCAACTGCTTCCCTTTGACTTTTGACTTTTGTATTTTACATTACTTTATAGCCTTTTCCTCCTTGCTTTAATGATCCTATTCCACCATTTCTTTGATATTAGTGTAACTCTTGTCGCTGTGGTGAGTTGGCTGTGGCGAACTGTCGTAGACCCCTCCTGAGGGAGTGACCTGGAGGCCCCTGTGGGAGTGACCTGGAGCCCCCTGTGGGAGTGACCTGGAGGCCCCTGTGGGAGTGACCTGGAGGCCCCTGTGGGAGTGACCTGGAGCCCCCTGAGGGAGTGACCTGTAGTCCCCTGAGGGAGTGACCTGTAGTC